TAGCCATTTGTGCTGCTGCGAGTCTGCTTGTTGGCGGCGTCGTCCGCGTAGCCGACCAGTTTCAGAGTTTCGGGGCCACCGCCAAACTCCAGAGCAAAATTGTGCGTGTTAACGAGGTAGGTGAGGCAGCGATCGACCTCACGCCAGTGCTGATCACTCCTCACTGTCAGACTGGACCCCAGCTTCCTGCATGCGAAAGAGATGTCGGGTCGAGTTGTTGTGGCAGCGAACTGCAGCGAACCGACCTTCTAACGGTACTCCTTTTCTTTGCGAGACTGGAAGTCCGCATCGTCAAAAGTCAGCTCCGCGTAGGCGTCCACGGAAACAGGCGTCTTCGGACGCCATCCAGTCTGCTCCTCGTTGATGAAGCGCCTACGCAGCTTGTCGACGTAGGACTGCTGGTGCAACCAGAGCTTTCGCTCCGGACGATTGTGCACGATTTCGAGCCCCAAATACTTCTCAACCGGTCTGATCTCGCGAAGCTCAAAGGTAGCCTCCAGCAGCTCCTTCAGCATCGCAGTGCTGCTGCTAGCGGCGAGCAGGTCGTCGACGTAGACGAGCACTCAGCACGCCACTCCGTCATTGCCAACTCTGAAATAGAGAGCCTCGTCCACCTGGCTCTTGCTCCAGCCGGCGCCAGTCAGCACAGCGTCGAGCGCTGATTACCACAACAGAGGACTTTGCTTCAGCATGTACAAACTCTTCAGCAGCTTGCATACGCGGCCGATACAATCGTTGTAGTAAGCCGGCAGATCCATGTAGAGCACGCAATCAAGCTTGCTCTGCAGAAACGCATTCTTCATGTCGAACTGCATGAGGTGCAAATTGAGAACGGCGACGATGCTAAGAAAAATTTGCAGCGTGACATAGCTCCCGACCGGTGCATACGTCTCGTCGTAATCAGCTCCGTAGATCTGCGTAAAGCCTTTCACCACCAGGCGCGCTTTTTCGCGGGCGACCGTGTCGTCGACATGGTACTTCGTCATTAGAACCCAGCGGTTCTTCATGACATTGACGCCGCGCGGGCACTCCACCAGCTCCCATGTGCGGTTGGAGATGAGGCTTCGAATTTCCTCGTCCATCGCAGCTTTCAGCGCCTTGCCTTTCCAGCTTGCTATCGCCTCCTTCACTGTCATGTTAGCAATGTCCCAGCGGCGCTCTGGGTCGGCATGAATATCGGGGTCGAGCTTGGGCACATCAACATCGAACTGCACATCGTCGAGCAGAGTGCTGTAGGAGATTGGCGGGAGGCACACATGGTAGCTCAGCCTCTCGGGAGGCTTGCCAAAGTTGGAGCGGGTGGAACATCGAACTGCAGGATTGTCGGCAGAGACTTCCACCACGTCGCTGTCGCTGGACTGCTCTCCGGTCGACAACTCCCCATCAGCGCCGCCGATGACTTCAACAGCATCGTCCGATGTGCCATCGTCAAACTGCTGCCTCGTCGTCCGCTCCTCTGCAGTGTGCTCCTTGTTCGACGGCTCCTCTGAATCGCGCTTCTCGTTCGACGGCTCTACTATCGACGACTTTTCTGAAACGCGCTTCTCGTTTGACGGCTCCCCTGTCGGCGGAGACTCCTCTCCAATGCCGACTTGGTTTGCCTATCAGATTACGTCGACCGCCAGCGATGTCGATGGGCGGAGCTGAAGGCAACGCACCAATGCTCCCCTCATCGCTGGCGGCTGACGTCAATGCCGACTTAGCCAGATTGGCAGCGAGCTATTGGGGGGGAGGCGGGAAGAGGAGGAGGAGGTTTCGACGAGGGCGGAATAGAGGGAGAAGGATCTTCAGAAGGACCATCGTCCTCGGATTCGAGCAACGAAATCGCCGCTGGCGACGGACCCGTCGGCGGAGAAATCTGCGTCCGCTCTGACACGGGCCCGTGCTCCATCTTCCACTTCTCCAGAGACATCGCCTCAGAGAAGATTGCTTCCACGGTTGTGACAATGCGGTTGGCGGTGAGGTCTAGCACCTCCCATCCCTTGCTCTCTGGCGAAACACCGAGGTGAATTCCCTAGCGCGCCTTCGGTGCCAACTTTCCGCCGCACTGCTGCTCTGGGATCATGAACTGCACCATACACCCCCACACGCGCGCCAGCGTGAGATCCGGATTCTTCTCGAACAGCGGCTCATACGGCGGCGTCATCCAAACGGCATGGTGAAGGGCGAGGTGCCACCAGCGATGCTTCACCCCCATGTGAAGCAGCATCGTCTGCACAGCTTCGACGACCGTGCGCATCTCCCGCTCCGCCATGCCATTCTGCTACGGAGTGTAGGGGCATGTGAGGTTGTGGAGGACACCCTTGTCCTCAACCAGGTTGGTGAACGCCCTACCGAGGAACTCCCCTCCACTGTCAAAGCGCAGCCGTTTCACCGACTTCGACATCTGACGCTCCATTTCCTTCGGCCACTTCTCGAACACTTCGAGCACGTCGCTCTTTTTCGCGATCGGGCGGACCCACACAAAGCGAGTCTTGTGGTCCTTGAGGAGGAGAAAATAGAGGCTCCCATCCATGGCGGCCACGAGAAAGGGGCCGCAGAGGTCAATGTGCACGACTTCGAGCGCGGTTTCAGCGTTCGATCCCTTCTCCGGAAAAGTATGACGCGCCAGCTTGCCACCGATAAAGGAGGTACACGGCACATCGGCTCCTGTTGACATCTTGATGTCCAGGCCGATGGCAACTTCATGTTTTACTGAACTCATAATCGTGTCAATGCCGACATGCGTGAGCCTCGCGTGCCACTTAACCGGCTTGGTCTTCGTCGCCAATACGATCGTCCGCAGAGCAACTCCTTCTATCGCAGATGTAGTCGATTTCGAGGAGCAGGGGCGGAGGTCGCTGCAGAGGACTTGGCCGTTGTAGCGTGCTCGACCGAGCACATCTCCTAAAGCGGAAACAAGCAGCATCTTGTCCCCCTCGTTCCACAGCTTCACGCCGTTTTCCTTCAGCTGACCAGCAGACAGCAGGTTCGCGTGCACGCCCGGGACGTACAACACGTCGGGTATGAGAATCGGCTTCCCGATCTCCCCTATTAGAGCAACCGTGCCACGGCCATTGACGTTCTGAAGCGCCCCGTTGAACCCGCGCACGTGACGGATTTCCCCTCCTGGCTTCATCTCTACAAAGGCCTCTCGCGTTCCCATCAGGTAATGGGAGCAGCCACTATCGAGGAGAACCACAGTCGGATTCGCCCGCACAGCTGCTGCGACAGCCTGGAAGTCAGCTCCAGCCTCTGGCGCCAGCGAAATAGTTGGCTCAACCACACCAACTATCAAAAAAGAGGCTTCCGTTCCGCTCAAGGTACCAGTCTCTGATGTTGACGGCGATTTCGACGATGCAGGTTTCTCCTTCCGCGGCTTGTCTCCACGCCGACCATCGCCGTTAGACTTCCCGTCCTCTGATCGACGAGCATGTTCGGACTTTCCGCGGCGTCCTCTCTGATCTTCGTCAGACTCGTCGCGGTCAGGGCAGTCATACGAGAGATGGTCAGGGTCTCCGCAAATGTAGCTGAAGCGTCCTCCTCGACGCGAACCACTGCTTCCGCGATCAATACCCTTCGCAGACTTCCCGCAATCAACGCTCTCCGTCGATTTGGTGTTGGATGAGTTTCTGCCACCACCTCCATCTCCGCCCAACTTCCCACGCTGCCCCATCTGACGTTCCTGCTTCATTGGAGCAACGTAGTTAACCTGCGGAAGGAGCTCTAAAGACCGCTCAGACTCCTTCATGAACTCATCCTAGATGATGTGACTCGAAAGCGAATCCTCGTTCAGAGTCTGGTGCGCGCTGGGCATGATCAGCATCCGTCGTATCAAATTGTAGCCTGAAGGGTGGCCATTGATGACATGCGTGACATACAACGCCACCGAGTACTCGAAGCCAGCCATCTGCATTGTCAAACTTATATGCTATAGTCTGTGTAGGCTGTAGTGGGGTAGACAATATGGGGTACAACACTATTAGGTTTTCCTACTTGTACCCACCTGCTTCCTAGTTCATTCATTCCTTATTTCTTCACATGGTATAGAGCAGGTTCCCTAGTGGGAACGCTTCCTAGGGCCCACCACTGAAAATCGAAATTTTTTTTTCTGACCGGAGCGCGAGTCGCCCCTGCCCAAGGCGCGCCCAGTGGGTCGCCCTCTCGTCGCGTCCCCTGACCTTAGCGGCCCGTCGCGCCCTTCTAGAGGCCCCTCCCACAGCCCCTCGCGCCACCCCTAGCGGCCCCGTTGCCGCCCTTCGCGGCCCGTCGCCGCCCCTCGCGGCCCCGTCGCCGCCCCTAGCGGCCCCATCGCCGCCCCTCGCGGCTCCGTTTCCGCCCCTCGCGGCCCCGTCGCCGCCCGTTACGGCCCCATCGCCGCCCTTCGCGGCCCCGTCGCCGCCCATAGCGGCCTCGTCGCCGCCCTTCACGGTCCCGTCGCCGTCCCTAGCGGCCCCGTCGCCGCCCTTCGAGGCCCCTCGCGGCCCCTTTCGCGGCCCCGTCGCCGCCCCTTCTTGGCCCCGTCGCCGCCCTTCGCGGCCCCGTCGCCGCCCCTAGCGGCCCCGTCGCCGCCCTTCTTGGCCCCTCGCGGCCCCTTTGCAGCCCCGTCGCTGACCCTAGCGGCCCCGTCGCCGCCCTTCGAGGCCCCTCGCGGCCCCTTCTCGGCCCCGTCGCTGCCCTTCATGGCCCCGTCGCCACCCTTCCCAGCCCCTTCTCGGCTCCTCCGCCACCAACAGCAGCCGCCGCCAGCAGCAGCAGCCGCCGCCGCCGCCAGCAGCAGTCGACAGCACCAAACGCCGCCGACAGCAGCGGCGGCCGCCACCAGCAGCAGCCGTCGCCGCCGACAGCCGCGACTTCCGCCGCCACTGACAGCAGAAGCTGCCGCCGCGGTTCCGCCTCTGTCCCTGCCGACGCTCCTCGGCCCTGCCCCACCGCTTCCCGGCCCCTACCTACCAGCCCTGGTAAGAGCACTGCCGAGCCACGCCTGCTACTGCTGCCCCTAGCCTACTGCCACTACTGTCATGGCTACCCCTAGCGTTCTAGTCTTTGATGCTGAGGGTCGGGCTGTTGACTTTGAGGTCTATGTCGATGATCTACAGCTTCCCCTACAGTGCGATAGGAAGGACGGTCTCTCACTGTTCGATCTCACGTCTGGCACCTCTGATGCCCCTGCTGCCGATGCTGAGAGCACTGTACGCTCACAGTGGGCCACACGCGATGCTGCTGCCCGTCTTGCTGTGCGTAGTCACTTACCGTCCACTGAGCGCGCGCACTTTAGTCAGTACAGGAGTGCTAAGACCTTGTACGATGCTGTAGTTGCACGCTACTCTTCCCCTCCCACTGCTGCCCTTAGCCGCATCATGCTGCCTCACCTGTTTCCTGACCTCGCCGCCTTTCCCACAGTCGCTGACCTCCTTACGCACCTTCGCACTAGTGACACCCGCTACCGCGCTGCACTTCCTGCCGAGTTCTGCGCCAAGAACCACCCCCCCCCCCCATGTACATCACCCTCTACTACATAGTCACCCGGCTCCCTGACTCCTTTCGCTCGGTCAGGGACCACTTTCTCTCTGTTTGCCCCACCACTCGCACCGTTGACCTCCTCGAGGAGCGCCTCCTGGCAGCTGAGAAGAGTATAGTCGCTGTAGGAGCCTCTCGTGGTGACCCTCGTGCCCCCGTCTTTGAGGGGTGCTCCCCCTCCCCCCTTTTGCCCTCTGTTGCCTCTGCTGCTATCGTCGACTTCGTTGGCACCGAGTCGGTCGGCGCTGCGTCTGCCCCTAGCGAGAGACGCCGCACCGGCAAGGGCAAGGGGGCAAGGGCGCTAGAGGGGCTGGCGGGGGCGATGGAGGCGGCGGAGGGAGTGGGGGTGGCGGTGGGAGTGGTGGCGGGGGTGGGGGCTTCGGTGACGGCGATGGTGACGCAGGCGGCGGCGGCGGTGGCGGTGGGAGCGGAGGAGGAGGCGGTGGCGGCGGTGGCGGAGGTGGTGGCGGCGGAGGTGGAGCTGGTCGGGGTGGCTCTGCGCAGCGGGGCGGCTTTGGTGGTGGTCAGCGCCAGCAGCAGCAGCGCACTCGTGAGACCCTACACTGCGCGTCAGCGGGGTGGGGGTGCTGGTCCTTGTGCCTACGTCCTGCATACCGGCGACCGCACATGTGATCCGTACGGTGGCCCGCACACCACGCAGCGATGCTTCGGCCGCCTGACGGACGCTTGGCGTCTCCAGTTCCCTGACGCCACTGAGATCCCCCGCTGGGGCGAGCTACTTAGGTCGGGGGTTGCTATCTTTGATCTAGGTTATGATGCCATTCTTGCTGCCATGTATGTTGTGTCTACTAGTGATAAGGGTGACTGTTACCTGTGTGTTCCGCCTGACCCGGGCATTTAGGCTGCTGCTCTAGGTGCTGGTGAGGCTGCTGCTCTAGGTGCTAGTGCGTCTGCTGCCCCAGGTGCTGGTGAGTCTGCTCTCTCAGGTACCACGTCGGCTCAGGCCTTACACACCTTCACCCTTGACTCGGGTGCTTCCCGCTCCTTCATTCGAGACCGCACCACGCTTACGCCGCTTAATCAGCCAGTTGCGGTCTCCTCTCCTCTTGCACCACCGCCTTAGTCACTTCTCCCTGCCTCGTCTCCGAGGCATGGCCTCCCGTTTCCTTGACTCTGGTCTCCCCCGGTCCCTCCCTCCCCTCCCTCCGGGGCCTGCCCCTACCTGCGTTCCCTGCGTCGAGGGGCGGCAGCGCGCCGCCCCTCACTCCTCCGAGTTTCCTCCAACAGAGGCTCCGCTGCAGACTCTTCACATGGACGTGTGGGGCCCTGCCCGCGTCCGTGGCCAGGGTCACGAGCGTTACTTCCTGTTGGTGGTTGACGACTACTCGCGTTACACCACGGTCTTCCCCTTGCGCAGCAAGGGTGACGTCACTGAGGTGTTGATCAACTGGATCCGCGCAGCTCGTCTCCAGCTCAGAGAGAGTTTCGGCTCGGACTTTCCTGTTTTGCGTCTGCACTTTGACAGAGGCGGGGAGTTTTCCTCTGCCCTTCTGGGAGCCTTCTGTCGTGCACACGGCATCCGCCAGACCTTCACGCTTCCGGCCTCTCCACAGCAAAATGGGATTGCTGAGCACCGCATTGGCATGGTCATGGACGTCGCTCGTACGTCCATGATCCATGCGGCTGCTCCCCATTTTCTTTGGCCGTTTGCAGTTCAGTACACAGCGCATCAGATCAACCTTCAGCCCCGGGTCTCCTTGCCAGAGACCTCCCCCACCTTGCGGTGGACGGGGAAGGTTGGCGATGCATCTGCGTTTCGTATCTGGGGATCTCGGGCGTTTGTCCGCGAGTTGTCTGCGGACAAGCTGTCCCCCCGTGCTATTCCCTGCGTCGTGTGTGACGCGCCTGGGTGGCAGTTTTACCACCCCACCTCGCGCCGTGTTCTGTCCTCCCAGGACATCACCTTTGACGAGTCGGTGCCTTACTACCGTCTCTTCCCCTACCGCACTGCGCCCCTCCCCCCGCCGCCGCTCTTCCATGCACCAGGTACCCCCCCGGTAGACCCTCTCCCCCCTCAGGGTCCTGCCCCGTCACGTGTGTCCCAGGTTGACGCAGTCGAGCCTGTTGAGGTAGCTGGTGACTCTGGTGCTGCTAGGGGTGCTGAGTGTGGGGGTGCTGAGTCTGGGAGTGCTGAGTCTGGGGGTGCTGAGCCTGGGGGTGCGGAGCCTGGGGGTGCAGAGCCTGGGGGTGCGGAGCCTGGGGGTGCGGAGCCTGGGGGTGCGGAGCCTTGGGGTACGGAGCCTACGGGTGCTGAGCTTGGGGGTGCTGGGTCTGCTCGTGTGGCCTTTGACGGTGCTGGGTTTGGGGGCCCTTCGGGTGCTTCGTCGAGGCGGGAGCTACTCTCTCCAGAGGAGCTGCGCTAGTGGTTTGCTCGGCGCTGGAGCCGTGCTACTGGAGCTAGAGGTGCTACTGTTGCTGCTGACCCTGGGGTCAGCACTAGAGTTATTGGAGCCACTGGTCCTGGATGTGCTCGTACTGGCGGTACTGGAGCTGCTGGAACTGGGGGTGCTGCTGGTGCTGCTGGAGGTACTGGAGCTACTGGGCATGGAGGTGCTCCTGGTGCTGGAGCTGCTGGTGGTACTCGAGCTGGCAATCCTGTTGGAGTTGGTGCTGCTGGAGCTGCTGGAGCTGGAGCTGCTTCAGACCTTCTCTCCCACCCCGAAGATGACCACTCTTCGGGTGCTGCTGCACATAGCCGCTCAGCGCGACTACGAGCTTCACTCTCTTGACTTCAGCACAGCTTTCCTGCAGGGCAGCCTGCACGAGGAGATGTGGCTGCGCCGCCCACCTGGCTTCACTGGGTCGTTTCCTCCTGGTACCCAGTGGAGCCTCCGGCGGCCAGTCTACGGTCTCCGCCAGGCGCCCCATGAGTGGCACGACACACTGAGGACTACACTTGCGGCTCTTGGGTTTGCTCCTTCTACTGCTGACCGGTCGCTGTTTCTGCGCACCGACTCCTCTTTGCCGCCGTTCTACATCCTCGTGTATGTCGACGACTTGGTCTTTGCCACAGCTGACAATACTGGACTCGCCCACGTGAAGTCCGAGCTGCAGAAGAGACACACGTGCACACACTTGGGTGAACTGCGCAGCTACCTTGGCTTGCAGATCACCTGGGACAGAGCACAGCGCACCATAACCCTGACTCAGTCACACATGGTGCAGCAGGCCCTTCAGCGCTTCAACTTCACGTACTCCTCGCCTCAGGCCACTCCTCTGTCTACTCGCCACTCGCTCTCAGCTTTGCCTTCGGATGAGTTCGTAGAGCCGAGTGGCCCGTACCCAGAGCTTGTTGGCTGCCTCATGTACCTGATGATCTGCACACGACCTGACCTTGCATACCGTCTTAGCATCTTGGCAGGCTATGTTGCTCCTGGGAGACACTGACCAGAGCACATGGCTGCAGCGAAAAGGGTGTTGCGCTACTTGTGCAGTACGTCTGGCATGGGGCTAGTGCTTGGAGGGCGACGTTCACTGGTCCTTACAGGTCACGCAGACGCTTCTTGGGCTGACGACCAGGCTACGCAGCGGTCGCCATAGGGTTACACCTTCAGCCTTGGTTGAAGCTCTGTTTCGTGGTGGTCTACTCGCTCGTCTTCTGTTCTCGGCTCCAGCTGTGAGGCTGAGATCTACGCGGGGGCCATGGCTGCACAGGAGCTACGCTGGCTCACCTACCTGCTGACTGACCTAGGAGAGCCGCCTCGTTCTCCTCCAGTTCTGTACGTAGATAACAAGGCCATGCTGGCCTTGTGTCGGGAGCACAGACTGGAGCACAGAACGAAGCACATTGCTCTTCGCTACTTCCTTCCTTGTTAGCTGCAGCAGCGTGGTCAGCTGCGCCTTGCTTACGTGGCCTCTGAGGCCAACACTGCTGATATCTTTACCAAGGCACTTCCGCCTTGTGATCATCAGCGCTGCTGTACGATGCTAGGTCTTGTGCCTACCTTGCCTCACTTGCTCACTTCTTGCCCTTGCTTGTACTGTGATCTTTCTATACCTGCACTTGCTTGTTTACCTTTATATATGATCTTGCTTGTGAACTGGCCTTGTGGCCTTGAACTTGTGCTCGGAATGTGTGGTGACGTTGTGATCCACCCTGAGCTTGCTTTGCTTTGCTTGACTGGTCTTGTGACATCTTGTTCTCCCCCACTTTGCCTATGGGGGTGTGCCAAACTCATATGCTATAGTCTGTGTAGGCTGTAGTGGGGTAGACAATATGGGGTACAACACTTTTAGGTTTTCCTACTTGTACCCACCTGCTTCCTAGTTCATTTATTCGTTATTTCTTCACATGCATGTCGGCCAAAATTCGTTGCGCTCGATTACAGTACTCGGTCGCCGATTCCATCTCGCCCATGCATATGGTGGCCAATTTCTTCTACAATTGGCTGATGTAGAGGTCGTTGGTCGCTTTGTAGGTGCGCATAATGTACTGCCACGCTTGGCAGCCGGTGTCCACACAAATTCGGCACGGCTTTAATGCGACTTGCACCAATGGCGAACAGCACCGTGAAAGGACTATGAAGGTTAGAAGATGAGCGGCACCAAATTCAGCCCACAATTCGGAGTCGTCTTCGCCCGGCATCTCCACCTTGCCGTCAACGAACTTCTTCAATCCAGCGATCTCCAGCTGCGGCTGTATGGATTCGATCCATGTGATTAAATCATGGCGTCCTTCGAGCAGCTTTGGCACAGCGATCTTGTCCGGCGAAAATTTGAAGTAGCCGTACGCCGGCGCGATGCCTCCGTCACGACCAGCCAACGCATGAGTCGCCGAAATCGGCCTGACTCCACCCGCTGAGAAGATTGACGTCGACCATCGATGTTGTTGTTCGAGCTACCTAAAGCCGCCGTCGACCACAGCACTTGCGCCTGCACTCCGCCAACGCCGACGTCAGCGACCCAAATCACTCCACGAACCCTCATGCTTCCTTCGCTGCCGACTTGGTTGCCACCGTCGACCTGGTCATTGATGTCTTCTTCGTTGCGCACCGGTCGGGGAGTGGCGGGCAGACCATCCGCCTCAGTACGAGTCGTTGGATGATCGCGCGCCCACTACACGCAGGCTCCAAGGAGCAGAACCTCCACGTTCGCTCTGCCGTACTTGCCAGCCGCGTGGCGTGCCCAAACATCATCTAACCGCGCCTGCAGGGTATCCTCTACGCCTGCAGCGACCTCCTCTTGGTCGTACATGGCGGTCTAGATGGCTCCCAGCCTACAACGACTTAGGTATTGAGTGCAAAAGTAGGCTAATATAAAGGTTCTATTGCGGGGCCATTCCACGCTCACCGCACCATGCGGAAAATGCTATTCTAAGGGAGAGCTGAATTGCGTGGGACGCAAGGTCAGAGTTCTTGCAGTGATTCTTGACAGAGTGTTTGAATGCCTTAGTAGAATTCGAGCATAGTTTCACTAGGGAAAGTTGGTAGAACAAGATTATGGTACAAGCAAGGAGATCCCAAATAGCAAGCACAATGAACCCTGGAGAAATGTTCCTTAACTAACGCTCGACCTTTCCGAGTCAGCAACGCCAGATGAAACGACAAGCACATGTGTCTTTCTCCTGAGTTGGCAGCTTCTCAGGTTTCCAACGTTCAGACTTGTTTACATTTTTACTGTTATTGAAAAAACGTGTTTCAGGTTCAGGAACCTTGCTGATTCGAAATTTCCTGGGGAGTACAATTTCTGAAATGCTCTGATTGGTCGAAATTTGTTGTTTCACGATTGGTCAAAATTCGGGCACATTGCGATTTTTGGAGACAAGTAATTATGGTCGACCAGAATATCTCTGCTCGACGATGGCTCGTTTGAGCTTATTTCTGTCGACCAGCGTTTCGTGAAACACCATTTTCTCCAATTTTGTCGACCCACAAGGCCCGATTTCGACGTCGATTTGCTCCCCTCGACAAGTGCCTTGCCGATGGGCAGTTGCGCAGTGCAGAAACAACACTTCAATTTCGACTACTTTATCTTCTCGAAAATCGACCCGGCGAACAGAGATAAAAGTCTCTGAAGTCGCCGATGATCACAAAACAAACACCGTTGTGCTCCAAAAAGCATGGCCGACTTTGCCCGAGCGAGGGCGGGGCCTTTTCTCCTTGACGCCTGTATAGGGGGGTGTCAATAGATCTGCACTGTGAGATCCCCGAGTGATCCTAGGGGGGTTACAGGCACGTTCGCCTAAGGGGTTATGGGGGCACGGACCCACTACACAAACAAGCCCTTTTATCCTAGTGGTCTAGTGGCTGGGATGATGTCATGTGAGGGGGTGACGGATGTGTTTCAGCAGCAGCAGCTGCCGCCACCCCTCCACCTCTCTCACGGCTACGCCTGCTGCTGTGGGTGGGAGTGTGAGGGGGTGGTGGATGTGTTTCAGTAGCAGCAGTTGCCGCCACGCCTCCTCCTCTCTCCTCACTGCCGCTACTGCTGCTGTGGGGGGGAGGTTGAGGAGGTGGTGTGAGTCCAGCTGCAACATCAGCCACCTCCTCTTCCTCTCACCCCACACTCTTCCTCCGGAAGGAGGTGCACGATATGCTGGCGTTGAGCGAGATCTAGGCTTTGAGATAAGATGTAGTACCCAGTGGATGAACGTTCGTCCCACTCGTTCTGAAGCTCCGGGTCACTAGGTCGTTTTTGGCTGCCCATCATGAGCTTCAAAAGACCTATCTGCCGAAAATACAGCTGCATCTTCCAGGACCAATCGTCATAGCCCTCTCCACTAAACTTGACAACGGAGAAGTTCTTCAACACCTCTCTTAGCAGCGGGCCCTGGCTCGTCCGGGCTATCCTAGGCGCGGAGACACCAGATTCTTGGCTACCACTACTCGCGGGGGCTGAATTCCCTTCTTCTCCAGGCAACCCCATCGATGGATACGTTGAGAATGGCTAAGGACCAGCTCTGATACCACGTGTTGACTCTAAGAACTTTGCGAAAGCGTTTAAAACTGAACCACGAACTCAAACTTGGCAACATATAACTTCACTTTGAACCCTCCAAGTGTGACAGCTTGTCACCTCATAGCCAAGGGTATAACATATACAAAGTGAGTAGTTATGCCTTGCTTGATTTGTGGAGTGAGGAATCTGGTCGAGCAGCGTTTCGGCAGCACCACGTTACGTTTCTACTCTCATCAGTACGTAGTAGTAGAATTCTGAGCCTTGAAAAGCATAATAGCATTGATTGACTTGAAGCAAATACAAGCACATATTTATATAAAGTCCTAAACACACAAAGGAAAACATGAATCAGTAGCTTAACTGGAATCCAGGCCTTCGCTTTGCTGTAATAGAGAACGGTTGTGAAACTGCTGAAGAGTTTGGCTCAATCTGCCTCATTAGAATTAGCTGTAATCCACTTGAATCGAAACCGAAGTCCCTTGCTCATTCACGTCATGAACTTACGCGAGTTCTCATGAGGAATCATGGATACTCGTGTGAGAAACCGTTTTCCAGTTATAAAACGGATTTTACCGTTGATGAAACGGTATTTATTGTTTTGTACCTGCGTCAAAATGATCACGCTAAGCAGCGTCACTTTCGTGCGAGGTCCGCTGTTTCCAAGTCAGCGCGGGATACGGTTGGTCAACCGTAATCCCGAGGCACCCCCGGTCAAGCGAGAAACGCCGATCGCTGACGCGATCGTGCTTTGTCTCGCGTGGAACAAGGCATTAAATTGCCCTGTCTTGTTGCGATGGTGAAACTGTGCATTGTCGCAACAGTTGCGACACACGCGCGGGCCCTGAGGGGCCACACGCGCATGTCAGGACCCCACGCGCGGGTCCTGACTTTTGCGCACTTTTTGACCAGCGCGAGATTGGTCAAAGGGTCCGAGTCAAAGACTCGAGCCCAGCCCCCCCCCCCCCCCGACACACTTGACACTCGCCACGAGTGCTCATGAAAACTCGTGAGCTTTCACGAGCTTTCATGACGCTCGTAACTATCATGAACGCTCACAGTTGTTCATGAGAATTAGCGAACAAACATGAGTCGTCATGAGAATTCATGACTCGTCATGATCCGTCATGACTTGTCATGTGCCCAAAACAAAAACACATGAAACAGAATGCCAAAACGGATGCGCACAGAACACACACAAAATGCGGGACTTCATGCAGGCGGTTGGTGGACGTGCAAAATCAAGATTTGCACCCAACAGTTATCAGACCGTTCTGGTCTGATGGTCTGATTTTCAAATTTGTTTTTTATAATCCATCTAATTTTCCAATCAATCAGACAAAACCATGTCTAATGCCCAGGGACCCGTCTGATGAATCAGACGTCCTCAGTACTAGCAAGAGCCCTCGTGACAGGTCTGCAATCACCCTGAAATCAGGGTAATAACCCTAATAAAATCAGCCCTGCCGATCACGATGTACAAGGCAAACAATACTGTCACGGCTGCTTGAATTTCCTCATTCCCAATACAGCCCTCTCCACTTCATTCCTTTACTCAAACGTCCAAGAGGACCTCACCCGTCCAGATTTCTTCCATGTCCCACATGCCCCCTGTGTCCCTTAGGTGCAAGTATGGGAGAATATCGGGAGAATCTCTCCATCGATAAAATTTTGCGATACTTTCACTTAATTTTGCCGAAATTTCCCCCCCTCCTGCTATTTCGTTGTCGCCACACCAGGGCCTCAGTTTGGTTTTGGGTACCCTGATCACTCAGTGTCCCTAGGAGGGTAACACAAGTTTTCATATTGTCTAGTGTGAAACATGTCAAACGTTATATATGTTATTGTTGTGTAGGCTATAGCGGGTTAGCCTTTACGGGGTATATCATTCTAGGGTTTGCTACTTGTATCACCCAATGTTCATAGTTCAATCAATTGTTGATTCTGACATGGTATTAAGAGCGTAGGTCCTAGCCCTAGGACCGCTTACCTAAGGGCCCATCGTTCTGCTAGCTGCGCCCTCGTGCGCCTTCTCCTAATCGCGCCCTTGTGCGCCTCACGCGCCCTCGATCGCCCCACTTTTTTCGGCCGCGTCGCCCGCTAGCCGCCCGCGCGCGGCCCCTTTTCTGAGCGCGCCCTGACCCCTAGCCGCCCGTGCGACCAGCGCCGCCCACGAGCAGCCCCTAGCCGCCCGTCGACCGCCGCCTAGAGCGTCGCAGCCACGCCCGTAGGCCGCTGCGACACCCTCTATAGGCCGCCGCCCCCGCGCTAGTGAGGCCCACGCGCAGCCACGGCCTGCCTACTACAGCCGCCCACGCGCACGCCCCCAGTCGCGCACTGCCGCGTAGCCTAGCCCGAGCCGAGCCGCGCCGCCCGAACCGAGCCGCGCCGCCCTACTGTGCCCCACCTGCAGCGACTCCTGTTCCTATTCCTACCGTACTACTGCTTCAACTGCAACTGATACTACTCCTGCTGCTACTACTACTGTTCCTACTGCCACTATGGCCACTCCCTCTATTCTCACCTTTGACGCTGAGGGCCGCCCGATTAAGTTTGAGGTTTGGTTAGATGACCTCCACCTGTTCCTCCAGATCACTACCAAGGACGATGTCTCCCTGTATGACCACATGTCAGGCGCTGCTCCCGCACCTCCTGCTACTGCTGACAGTACTGCTCGCTCCCAGTGGCACACCCGTGATGCCCACGCTCGCCTAGCCGTTCGCACCCACCTGCCGCTAGATGAGCGCGAGCACTTCGGACAGCATAAGACCGCTAAGGAGCTATACGACGCAGTAGTCGCGCGCTACTCCTCCCCTGCCACTGCTGCTATAGGCCGTCACTCTCTGCCCTACCTCTTCCCCGACCAGTCCGCCTTTGCCACTGTAGCTGACCTCATCACCCACCTCCGTACCAGTGACCTCCGCTACCGTGCCGCACTCCCCCCCGATTTCCTCGCCAAGAACCCCCCCCCTCGATGTACCTCACACTGTACCACCTTGTCACCCGCCTCCCTGACTCCCTTCGCACAGTCAGGGACCAGTTTCTCGCCCTCTCCCCCACTGACCTCACTGTCAACCTCCTCGAGAAGGAACTCCTAGCAGCTGAGAAGAGCATTGTAGCTGTAGGTGCCTCTTGTGGTGACCCACGCACCCCCTTCTTTGAGGGGTGCTCCCCCTCCCCCCTCCTCCCCTCCATTGCATCTGCTACTGCTGTCGACTACCTCGGAGCTGAAGGGATTGGGGCTGCGTCTGCTCCTAGTGGGAGGCGCAAGGGCGGGAGGGGCAAGGGGGGCAAGGGTGGTGGAGGTGGAGGTGGGGGCGGCGGCGGTGGAGGGGGTGGGGTGGGCGGGGGTGGTGGCGGAGGTGGGAGTGGCGCGGGTGGTGGGGGGGTCGGTGGCGGAACAGGGAGTGGTGGCGGCGGCGGTGGTGGAGGTGATGGGGGCGGTGGTGGTAGTGGTGGCGGCGGTGGAGCGGGTGGCGGGCGCGGTGGAGCGGTACAGCGTGGGGGGTTCGGCGGTGGCCAGAGGCAGCAGCAGCAGCGTCCCGGTGAGACTCCCTCGCCCCACCAACTCTATGAGTGGTACTCTCAGCGTGGGGGGTCTGGGGGTGGAGGTACCTGCCCGTACGTTATCCGCACAGGTGACCGCACTGGCCAGACCTGTGGGAGGTTTCACACGGCACAGCGCTGTTTCTTTCGCCTCGACGACGCCTGGCGCGAGCAGTTTCCCGACGCCTCTGAGCTGCCCCGCTAGGCTGATCTGCTTAAGAAGGGAATTGATATCTTTGCTCTTGACTATGATGCTATCCTTGCTGCTATGTATGCATTGACTATTAGTGTTGAGGGTGACTGTTACCTAAGTGTACCGCCCAACCCGGGTATTGGGACCAGTGAGGCTGCAGCTCTAGGTGCTAGCACGTCTGCTCCTCCAGGTCCTGGTGAGGCTGCTGCCCTAGGTGCTAGTGCGTCTGCGTCTGCTGGTACCGCACCTACTGAGGCACTACACACCTTCACACAGGACTCAGGTGCTTCCCGCTGTTTCTTTCGCGACCGCACTGCCCTCGAGCAGCTTCCTAGACCGGTTGCTGTCTCCCTGGCTGACCCCTCAGGGGGTCCGGTCCTTGCAACCTCCACCAGTGCCCTCCCTTGTCCTGCTGTCCCGTCTGGCAAGTTGTCGGGCCTCTACCTCCCCTCGTTCTCTACGAACTTGGTGGTGGGGTCCGCGCTCGAGGACGCGGGTGTTCACCAATTCACCCCGGCCTACGAGCGTGTGACGCACTACACGTGTGCCCGGACGGGCCGTCACATGGCTACCTTCACTCGGCAGCCGGGGTCGGACTTATACACACTGACCACTGAGTCCCCTCAGGTAGCTGCGTCTGCGTCTGCGTCAGGTCAGCTCTCGGCCCCCTGCTCGTGTCGCTCCCTGTCGCACAGGACTGTCCTCTGGCACCACCGCCTTGGTCACCCGTCACTACAGCGCCTTCGTGGCATGCACTCCAGGTACCTTGTCTCTGGTCTTCCCAGAGTTCTCCCTTCCCTGCCACCCTTGCCTGCTCCTCCCAGTCTTCTCTGTGTCGAAGGGCGGCATCGCACCGCTCCTCACTCCTCCTCGTTCCCTCCCACAGAGGCTCCCCTGCAATCTCTCCACCTGGACGTGTGGGGCCCCGCCCGCGTCCAGGGACAGGGCCACGAGCGGTACTTTCTGCTGGTCGTCGACGACTACACGCGCTACACCACAGTCTTCCCCTTGCGTACCAAGGGTGAGGTCCCTGATGTCTTGATCCCCGGGATATGTGCTGCTCGTCTCCAGCTCCGCCAGCGGTTCTAGTTGGACTTTCCTGTCCTACGTCTGCACTCTGACAGAGGTGGCGAGTTTTCCTCTGACCTCTTGGCAGCCTATTGTGCGGAGCACGGCATCTGCCAAACGTTCACTCTCCAGGCCTCTCCGCAGCAGAATGGGGTTGCTGAGTGCCGCATTGGTCTTGTCATGGAGGTCGCTCATACCTCCATGATCCTTGCGGCTGCCCCTCATTTCCTGTGGCCGTTTGCAGTGCAGTACGCCGCGCATCAGCTCAACCTCTGGCGCCGTGTCTCCGTTCCGGAGACCTCGCCCACCCTGCGTTGGACGGGGGAGGTTGGTGATGCGTCGGTGTTCCGAGTCTGGGGATGTCAAGCTTTTGTCCGCGATACGTCCGCGGACAAGCTCTCGTCCCGTGCCGTTCCCTGTGTCTTCCTTGGCTTTGTCCCTGACGCGCCTGGCTGGCAGTTTTACCACCCCACCTCGCGTCGTGTCTTCGCCTCTCAAGACGTCACCTTTGACGAGTCGGTTCCCTTTTACCATCTCTTCCCCTACCACACTGCCCCGCTCCCCCCCCCGCCACTTTTCCTCACCCCAGGTGTCCCGTCGGTAGACCCCCTCCCTCCTCAGGGTGCTGCTCACTCAGGTGTTTCCCAGGTAGACCCAGTCGAGTCTGTCGAGGTAGCTGTTGACTCAGGTCCTGCGCGAGGTACTGAGCGTGCTGAGCCTGGTGGTGCTGGGTCTGGGGGCACTAAGACTGGGGGTGCTGAGCCTGGGGGTGCGGAGACCGGGGGTGCTAAGCCTGGGGGTGCGAAGACTGGGGGTGCTGAGTCTGGGGGTGCGAAGACTTTGGGTGATGAGCCTGGTGGCGCTCCCTCTTCACAGCAGCTGCTTGAGTGGTACTCCCAGCGCTACAGCCTCCGTTGTGGGGCTACTGGAGCTGGGGGGTCAGCTGGAGTCGGGGCTGGTGGCCCAGCACGTGCAGTGCCGCAGCTAGAGCCTCCCTCCCCTCAGCGGCTACGTGAGTGGTATGCTCGGCGCTGCAGCCTCAGGAGTGGAGCTCCTGGTGTTGAGGTACCGCCAGCTAGAGGCCCTGCTACTGGAGATACTGCTGGTGCTGCTGGAGGTGCTGCTAGTGCTGCTGGAGGTCCTGGAGCTGCTGGAGGTGCTGCTGGTGCTGCTGGCGGTTCTGGAGCTGCTGGAGGTGCTGCCGGTGCTGCTGGAGGTGCTGCCGGTGCTGCTGGAGGCTCTGGAGCTGCCGGAGGTGCTGCTGGTTCAGCTAGTGGTTCTGGTGCTGTCTCTGCTGCTTCTGGGGGCACTTCACGACCGCGGCCGTACTTCGTTCCGCTCCTTCAGCAGGTTCTTGGTCAGCCGCCTCCTCCTAGTCCTCCTCCCTCCTTAGAGTGTGCTCCGCCTGTCCAGTCGCAGTCCCAGCTCCCGCCTGCCTCGCGACTTCCTGGTCCTTCTCCCTATACTGATCCGACAGGCGGTCTTACAGAACTTCGTGAGCCTCAGTCTCGTCCTGTGTCGCCTGTGTCTCGTCCTGTGTCACCTGTTCGTGCTGCTCGCACTGGTCCCCGTGGTCAGCGTGAGCGTCCTCCACCTGTGCTTGGCACACACTTTATGACTCTACGTCCTTCCACTGCTTCAGAGCGTGTCCCTCTGCCGTCTCCTCTTGAGTCCTCTCTTCCTGTCCTTGCTGACCCGGAGTCTGACTCTCTTTGTGCTGCCAGTCCTACTGTCACCCGTCTCCTGGCCACTGCTGACACTGACCCTTCCTTTGAGTCTGCTGCTGCGTCTGCCCTAGTTGGTGAGCTTGTCGACTTTGCTGCTCACTGTCGTCTAGACTACGCTCCGAGTCTTGTTGCTGAGTCTGAGTCTGTCTGTCCTCCGTCCGTCGGGGGTGAGTGTGCTCTAGGCACGGACGTCCTTGAGGACACAGAGGAGGACCTTGAGTGTCTTGCAGCCGCTGCGCCTCATCTCGTGTCCATGCTGATTGCCCGTGAGGGAGAACTGGATGCTCCAGACATCCCGACCCCGCGCTCTTACGCTGAGGCGATCGCGGGTGAGTACTCCTCTCAGTGGCTGACAGCTATGGACGTAGAGATGGCATCCTGGAAGTCCACTGGCACTTACGTCGACGAGGTTCCCCCTCCTGGGGCGAACATCGTCAGTGGCATGTGGATTTTCAGGGTGAAGCGGCTGCCGGGTTCTCCGCCTGTCTTCAAGGCTCGTTACGTCGCTCGAGGCTTCAATCAGCAAAAAGGGAGTAGACTTCTTTCAGACCTTCTCCCCCACCCCGAAGATGACCACTCTTCGGGTGCTATCACACGTTGCTGCTCAGCGTGACTACGAGCTTCACTCTCTTGACTTCAGCACAGCTTTCTTGCAGGGCAGCCTGCACGAGGAGATCTTGCTGCGCCGCCCTCCTGGCTTCACTGGGTCGTTTCCTCCTGGTACCGAGTGGAGCCTCCGGCGGCCGGTCTATGGTCTCCGCCAGGCGCCACGTGAGTGGCACGACACACTGAGGACTACTCTTGCGGCACTTGGGTTCGCGCCTTCTACTGCTGACCTGTCGCTGTTTCTGCGCACGGACACTTCGCTGCCGCCGTTCTACATCCTCGTGTACGTCGACGACTTGGTCTTTGCCACTGCTGACACTGAGGCTCTCGCCAATGTGAAGTCGGAGCTGCAGAAGAGACACACGTGCACAGTCCTGGGTGAACTGCGCAGCAACCTTGGCTTGCAGATCACCCGGGACAGAGCACGCCGCACCATCACACTGACTCAAAGCTTCGGCTTCACCTTGTCTTCAGCACAGGCCACTCCTCTTGCTATAGCTCACTCGCTCTCAGCTCTGCCTTCGGATGAGTCCGTAGAGCCGAGTGGTCCTTACCCAGAGCTAGTTGGTTGCCTCATGTACCTGATGACTTGCACTCGTCCTGACCTAGCGTACCCTCTTGGCCTTCTGGCCCGCTACGTGGCTCCACGAAGGCACCGAAAGGTGCACTGGGATGCTGCAAAGAGGGTATTGCGCTACTTGTGCAGTACATCGGGCATGGAACTCGTGCTTGGAGGAGGGAGCTCAGTTGTTCTCACTGGGCACTCAGACGCTTCTTGGGTTGACGACGAGGCTACTTAGCGGTCATCACAGGGTTACACCTTCAGCCTTGGCTCTGGATCAGTTTCGTGGCGTTCTTCGCGTTCGTCTTCAGTTCTCAGCTCTAGTTGTGAGGCTGAGATCTACGCCACAGCCATGGCTGCACAGGAGTTACGCTGGCTCACCTACATGCTGACCGACCTGGGAGAGCGGCCTCGTTCTCCTCCAGTGCTGTACGTCGACAACAAGGCTGCCATTGCCTTGTGTGAGGAGCACGGACTGGAGCACAGAACGAAGCACATCGCTCTACGTTACTTTCTGGCTCGAGAGCTGCAGCAGCCCGGTCAGCTTCGTCTGCGTTACGTGGCCACTCAGGCCAACACTGCTGATATATTCACCAAGGCACTTCAGCCTGGTGATCATCAGCACTTCTGTACTTTGTTAGGGCTTGTGCCCACTTTGCCTCACTTGCTGTAGACCTTGCCTTACTGTGATCTATATACTTATACCTGCATGCTTGTACTGTTAGGTAGAGATCACTATGATGTTTGTGATGCATATGTGCCTCTGCATATTAACTGGCCTTGTGGCTCTTTGCTTGTGCTCAGTGTGTGTGGTGACTTTGTGATCCACCCTGAGCTTGCATTCTCTTTCTTGACTGGTCTTGTGACCCCTTGCTCTACCCCACTTAGCCTATGGGGGTGTGGCAAACATTATATATGTTATTGTTGTGTAGGCTATAGCGGGTTAGCCTTTACGGGGTATATCATTCTAGGGCTTGCTACTTGTATCACCCAATGTTCATAGTTCAATCGCTTGTTGATTCTGACAAAACACTGATTTTACAGGGTCCTTAGAAATAAAACGCTGATCAATCAGGGTTTCTAAAACTTCAACACTGATCAACATAGTTGCTTATACCGGTATGTTGTCATAACACAGCGATTTAGACTTCCCTTATTTCACAATTCCCAAATTCGGCCATAATTTTGCTATTTCAGTGTCTGATTGGTCACAAATTTTGTCTGACCAATCGAATAGGACAATTGTTAACGATTGTTTTTTATCTCTGGTTGTGTACTTGACTGATGATTTGGACTTGGTTCGTCACAGCAGATTACCATGACGGCAAATTGGACCTCGCACAATCGTTTCGCGCTGTCGCAGCACAAGAAATTCGCCTAATTACAGCAGATTTGCCCTGACACAGCAGCAGATTTGCCCCTCACACAAGAGATTCGCCCTGTGTTTCGCCAAAAATCCCCCTGCTGCACGGTGCACGGTAACGGCGTGCCAAAACAAGGAGTTTTCAGTTTTAGGGTAGACCCCGATACAACACTGACTCGTCAGTGTCCTCAAATATAAAGCACTGGAAAATCAGAGTTCGAAATTAAAAACCACTGAAACATCAGGGTCGTTAAAAAAAAAAAGGCCGATGCATCAGGGTCATGATAAAAAATGGGGGTCCAACTTCAGGAATTCAGGGTAAAATTCTTGACTTCTGAGGCCCTGCGCCACGGGCTGTTGAATCTTCCACTGCAAGTGGTCAGAGAGATGCCACATGGCATTTTACATTCGCAAAAAATAACATTCGCGCCTCAAGTTGTCTAATTAGAAAGGCTCTTGCACTCAAAAAATGCCATATATATGTCAGAATGCTATAATTGTCTAGTCTGCAGTGGGGTACTCTATAGTGAGTACAACCCAAATTAGGGTTTGCTATATGTATCCTATCTGCTGCTAGTGAAACCCCTCTTTCTGTTTCTAACTTCGTGCCTATTATTTTGACATGCTATCAGAGCAGGTCGACCCTCCCTAGTCGATCATGTGTGACCATTTCCTGCCTATCGCGCGCCCCGGGCGCGCGACATTTTCTGCCCCCGTCGACCCGCGCGTCGCCCCACGGGACCCGCACGCTCTGCCCTGTCGACTAGCGCGCTGCCCCCGTCGACCCGCGAGTCGCCCCAGGGGACCCGCGAGTCCCCCCAAGGGACCCGCGCGCGCTGCCTTGTCGACCCACACGCCGCCCCGTGGGACCCGCGCGCGTTGCTTCGTCGACCCGCGCGCAGCCCCCGTCGACCCACGCGTCGCCCCAGGGGACCTGCGCGCGCTGCCTCGTGGACCCACGCGCGCTGCCCTATGGACCCTGTCGAAATTCTAGGCAAGAATCAGAAACAGGATAGAGAGGGTTTTCACTAGCAGCAGTTGAGATACATATAGGAAACCCTAATTGGGTTGTACTCGCTATAGAGTACCCCACTACAGGCTAGACAAACATCACATTCTGACAGACCAACGCGCCGCCCCTTGCCCTCGTGCGCCGCGAGGCAGCTTCTTTCCCGCCCCCTCCCCCCCCCCCCCCCCCCCTCCACCCCCAAGTTGGAAAGAAGTAACTTAAGCGCCTCTGTCGTGTCGAAACACTAAGTTATAAGCGAAGCGAAACACAGCGAAGCATCGGCGAGTCAACCCTCGGAGGCTGAACAACTGCTGGAGGTTACGCGAAAGTCAAAGGTCAGCGACCTTTGACCTGACAAGTAGAGCGCGACAGCAAGGACGAACAACTGACTCGTTATTGAGCAGTTGCCCGAGTCGTCACTGTATCGAACCGCAACAGCAACAGCAAAACAGTTATTAGTTATAACCCTTCATATTCCCTTGTACTTTTATAAAAGCTTGTATCTCTTTGTTTTAATCAATCTACTTTGCCCTCACATACCAGCGCAAGGTGGTTCATAAACTTGTCACTAAACGCTTCTGCTATTACATTGTCCTACTCCAAATTTAGTCCTGCAAAGATCCTAAGGGCTTTCCTCAGCCCAACATGGTATGAGAGCTATCAGGACAAATTCAACTACAATCAAGACCTCCACAACATCCCAAGGCATGGCAACGCGGAAGGAGAGAAGCTCCTCTAATGGCTCTCCCGGTACTGCTCCTACTCCACCTCCTGCCTCCGGCCTACAGACAGAGGAATGCACAGCAACAAGACCGGCAGCTGGGTCTACCGAAACTCCCGCAAATCAAGCCGCGGGCTTCGACCCAGACATGATAGAGAAATTCTTCTTCTTCATGTCCTTCTACGAACAACACCAGCAAGGGACACCTGCGCAGTGAAACAACAGCAACAACAACAACGCAACACTGATGAGCCTCGACGGTTCATCCTACGCACAAGGAAATCAGCAACAACAACCTACCTTCGCCCCGTACAAACCTCAGCGCGGTTCCGTCAGCTTCATACCGCGCCAGCAGCCTTCACCTGAGCAAGAGAAGACATTAGATGCACTTCAAGTTCAGTATCAGTTTGCACACGTCTTAAAACTGTAGACGTCAAGACCATTCGATGGAAAGGACTTCTTTACCTGGTCATTCGAATTCGAACTGATGATGGAAGGCGCGCAGACTCTTGGCTTCTTCGACGGGTCCCTGTGATACCCAACACACGGGACGCAATACGACAAGCAGCAGTATACATATCAGTCCATGATGACGTATACAATCCTACTACGCAACGTCACACTGAACCAGCAGCAGAACATTCGGTCTTACCGAGGATACGGGAACTCCGCCGAGCTCGCGTACAACCAGCTGAAGAACCTCTATCAGGCAACAGACAGCGTCAATCAGAGTCGGTTAATGGCACAGCTGACAACAGTGGAAATGAAACCGGGCTAAAAAGGGATGGCGTATATCAGCCGCTGTCGCGAATTGCACGACAAACTCCTTCAATGCGGAGGGTCGTGTCAGAATATTATGTTTCTCTAGTCTGCAGTGGGGTACTCTATAGTGAGTACAGCCCTTTTAGGGTTTGCTATATGTTTGCTAGTGAATCTCTCTCCTCTTCTCTCATTTCCTTCCTCATTTCTTCACATGGTATAGAGCTGTCTCGATCCTTGGGCCCACCACTGAAAAAAAAAATCCTACCCGAGGCGCGCGTCGTGCCTGCCCTTAACGGCCCTTAGCGGCCCCTCGTAAGGCCCTTCGCGGCCCCTCGTTAGGCCCCCCTTCGCGGCCCCTCGTAAGGCCCCTTCGCGGCCCCTCGTAAGGCCCCTTCGCGGCCCCTCGTTAGGCCCCTTCGCGGCCCCTCTTAAGGCCCCTTCGCGGCCCCTCGTTAGGCCCCCCTCGCGGCCTCTCGTCAGGCCCTTCGCGGCTCCTCGTACGGCCCTTCGCGGCCCCTCGTACGGCCCTTCGCGGCCCCTCGTACGGCCCTTCGCGGCCCCTCGTACGGCCCTTCGCGGCCCCTCGTACGGCCCTTCGCGGCCCCCCGTAAGGCCCTGTCGCGGCCCCTCGTCGCGGCCCCCCGTATCGGCCCCGTCGTCCGGCGTCGCCCCTGTCCCGGACCTGTCGCGGCCCTGCCCCGACCCTGTCGCGGCCCTATCGCGGCCCTGCCCCTGCCATGCCCCGACCCTGCCCAGGCCCCGCCCTCCTCATGCCTGTCGTGGCGCACCAGGGGCCCGTGCACCCCCCCCCCCCCCCCACCCCCCTTTTCCCGTCGCCTTATGTGGCGAGCCGGGGGGGGGGGGGGGGGGGGGGGGGCGCGGGGGGGCGCGCGTCGCCCCTTCTTCCGCCTGCTCTGGCGCCCTGGGAGGCCGCGCGTCGGCCCCCGTACTCCTCCTCCCCCCCCCCCCCCCCCCCCTCCCCCCCTCAGGTCGCCTCAACAGGCGACGGGAGGGGCGACCTGGGGGGGGGCGTGCGTCGGAGCAGCCGCCCCTGGTGCAGCCGCCTCTGGCCCCTGGAGCAGCCGCCCCTGGCCCCTGGAGCAGCCACCCCTGGACCCCGCGTCGCCGCCCCTGGACCCGGTGCCGCCGCCTCCCTGTGCTGCCCATTGCCGCCCGTTGCTGCCTGTTGCTGCTCTCCCCCCCCCCCCCCCCCCCCCCCCCCCCCCCCCCTTTCTTCATCTCCCAGCTGCGCGTGCAGCCGTGGAATGGAGGGTATGGGGGTGGCGGGTATGGGGGTGATGGATGGTATGTTTCCCTTCCCCTCCTCCTCCTTTGTCTCCCACTGCTGCAGCTGCCGCTGAGGGGGGTGGATGTGTGGGAGCCAAAGGTGTGGTGCTAGGGGGTGGGGTGTGAGTGAACCTAGGGGTGCAGTAGGGGGTGTGTGAAATGGGGGTGGGATAGTTTGGGGAGGTTGAAGGAGGTGGCCGCCGTGAAGCCCGCAGCTCCAGTTGCCCGTGAGACCGTTGCGCCAGTCGCCCGTGAGCCCGTTGCTCCAGTCGCCCATGAGTCCGTTGCTCCTGCCGCTCAGAGTTAGCCGCGGAGCCAGTTACTCCAGTAGCCCGTGTGCCAGTTGCTCCAGTTGCCAGTGTGCCAGTTGCTCCAGTTGCCCGTGTGCTAGTTGCTCCAGTTGCGCCGTGTGCCAGCAGCTTCAGCTGCCGCCCACTACCTCCTCTCCTCTCATAGTCCCTCCTCCTCCACACTTGCCCTCTACGATAGCCTCTAGCTTTGCTTACATTTGTGAACTTTAAACTGTTGCTT